GGAAAGCTAAGGTGGTGACTGAGTTTAAGTTAGCCAAGGGAGTCCAGGACAACAAGAAGTATTTCTTTGGGTATGCAGGGAGCAGAAGAAAATAAACGGAAGCATGGGATCCCTGCTTAACACCTCGGGACAGCTGGTAATGGACACTCAGGAAAAAACTGAACTCCTGAATGCCCACTTTGCTTCGGTATTTCACTGGACCAAGGGGAAAGACAAGTGAGATAAGAATCACAGGGGCACGGTAGGAATGATAGCCTTCCCACTGTGGATGCTGAGCTGGTACACAACCAACTAGAAAAGCTAGACATTTATAAGTCAGCAGGACCAGATGGACTCCACGTGGGAGTGCTGATGGAGCTGGATGAGGTCATTGCGGAATCCCTGGCAAAGCTCTTTCAGAAATCATGGCACACAGGAGAGATCCCTAAGGATTGGAAGAGGGCCAACATTGTGCCCATCTTCAAGAAGGGGAAGAAGAAGGACCCAGGCAACTATAGGCCAATCAGCCTAACCTCCATCGCAGGGAAAATCCTGGAAAAACTCATTAAAGAATCTATGTGCGATACGCTCACTGAGGGTAACATTCTAATGACAGCCAGCATGGATTCATCATGGGTAGGTCTTGTCTTACCAATCTCATCTCCTTCTACGAACAGGTCTCTTGCCACCTGGACACAGAAGAGAAGGTTGACATTATATACCTAGACTTCCAAAAGGCTTTTGATCTAGTATGCCACGATATCCTTATGGAAAAATTGGAAGATTGTGGGCTTAACTGCTCAACAGTTCAGTGGGTGGAAAACTGGCTGCATGGTAGGATCCAGAGAGTTCTCATGAACGGATCTGTGTCATCCTGGCGAGAAGTGGCCAGTGATGTCCCTCAGGGGGTTCGTGCTTGGACTGGTGCTTTTCAACATATATATCAATGATTTGGATGTGGGGGCGAAAAGCTCGCTGGCTAAGTTTGCGGACGACACCAAGTTATAGGGGAGCGTGGTCATGCCAGAAGATACAGGCAGACCTGGACAGGCTGGAGAGTTCGGTGAATCAGAAACAGATGAAGTTCACCACTCAGAAGTGTAACGTGCTCCATCTGGGGGCAAACAATCCCCAACATACCTACAGGCTCAGTGGCGACAACTGAACTCGCACCACAGCAGAAAACTACCTAAAGGTAGCAACCGACCATTGCATGAACATGAGCCGGCGGTGCGATGCTATGGCCAGCAGGGCAAACAACATGCTGGCATGCATTAACTCATGCACCTCATGCAAAACTAAGGAAGTGATACTCCCACTGTACTCCACACTAGTGAGACCACAGCTGGAGTACTGCATCCAGTTCTGGGTGCCGCACTTCATCAAGGACATGGAAAAACTTCAGAGGGTCCAGAGAAGAGCCACCCATATAATCAGGGACTTGCAAGACAAGCCGTATGAGGAGAGGCTGAGGGACCTAGGCCTCTTCAGCCTACAGAACAGAAGACTGAGAGGGGACTTGGTAGCAGCTTACTGCTACATCAGAGGAGTAGATCAAGAACTTGGTGAACACCTTATCACCCAGGCACCCCTAGGGAAGACCAGGAGCAATGGATACAAACTCCTGGAAGGCCGCTTCAGGCTCAATTCCAGGAAAAACTGTTTCACAGTCAGGGTGTCCAGACTGTGGAATAAACTCCCTCCAGAGGTGGTGCAGTCACCTACCCTGGGAATCTTCAAAAGGAGACTGGACAGTCACCTCGCTGAGGTCAGTTGACACCAGTTGTTGTTTCCTGCCTAGTGCAGGGGGACTGGACCCGATGATCTATTTCCTTCCAGCCCCTAACAACCTATGAATCTATGAATAGCCACAGTTACCATGATCCAATTTCAAAAGCTAAAGTCACAGTCATTGGCCAAGCAAAGACATTCTTGTCCAGTCAATCAGCATGGTGTGGGCATGGCCGGGCACAGAATTGTTGCTCACAGTGGTTATAGCTTGTGCCATGACCCAGCAGCCAACTCTTCACAGCCCAGTACCAGACCACAGCCTGCTGGTTGGGAACCTCTGTCTTAATAGACTCAAAGCACCCCTCCACAAATCTTGTGAACTGAGTAGCAACCCATTTCAAAAAATGATTTATTACAATGCTTACTTCCTTGCAGGTGGGAACAGCAGCGGTGATGGGGGAAAAGGCGAGGCAGGGATTTAACCTGAGCCTGCACTTATCTGCCTACCTCAGTGCACCTGGCTTATCTCTTCATACCTCATGCCACCCTTCAGAGGATCTTGTGAAACCTCTGAGTGCCCTAACACCCTGGTTGAGATTCACTGTTCTACAGAATTCTCCATGCTTCTGACTCTCTGTATGGGCCTATTCCCTATGTCCTGTAATGCCGGACTTCTTTATCCAGACACACACACTGGGTAAACGAGTATGTTCCCATACAAATCCCGTTAGCTGTTACATCTACAGGGGCAAGTAACAACACATTATTTTCACAAATTCAATACAATTTTAACTATTTGCTTTATTCACAGAAATGTTCACCTAGCTAACCTCTGAGATTTTATCTACCTTATGAAATGGGCCTATTCAAAACTTCAACTTTGGATTATTGTCCAAAGGTAGATGAAATGCTTAACTTACTACACAATGGGCGTGTCTACACAAGATACTACTGCGCCATTGCTCATTTCTATAGTGCTGTAGTGTTGCCGGGCACGAACCGTGACAGTGACACTACTGCGCAGTAGAATCTAAAAATAACCATGTGGCGATGGGACTGTGCATTAATGCTGGTTACTGCACAGTCATTTAGTACTTGGTTAAACACTTAATTAAGTAACAACTGCAGAGTCCCCCACACATGTAAACGTGTCCAATGGGTGTGTCCACATGGGAAAATAATGCAACTGAATAAACTTTAGAGTAGTTTGCATCAGAGTTTATTGCTCCCAGTTGTATTGTTTACACATGCACCAGGACTGCAGCATGTTGAGCCAGGTTGCAAGAGCCCCAGCTGGCAGGGGGCCCCAAGGGTCAGCCAGCCCAGGGCTGCTCTGACTCAGCAAAATGTGCTGAGGAGAATCTGCCTGGGGCACACCAGTGATTCAGTGTAGGGCTAGCCAGCAGGCAGCCCCTGCACAGAAGTACCATGGTGCCTCAGCCGGCCCCATCAGCTTCTACATGCGCATTGCTGCAGAGTAAAAAACTCCACCATAGCCTAGTAGTAGTGTCTGGCAGTACCATCCTATGGCAGAGTTAGTTAATTTACTCTGTCCTAACAGCACTGCACATGTAGATGGTGACATTTTATTGCGAAGCTAATTAGTCAACTCCGCAGTAAAGCTGTAGATGCACCCAATGATTATTAGTTGATAAAAACCTATGTCCTATCAAGAAATACACTTTCAATATACAGTCACAAGCATACATATTACAGAATGGTGTGTAAAAAGCACTGTTATTGTATAACGTTATTTGCTGAACAATAGGGTTAGAAACAGACTTAAAAATTTTATATACATTTTTCAGAAATCTTAATTGTGACAACTGGACGTTAATTTAGAGACAGCTTGATATGCAAAACATTCCTACCTGCAAAATGTTTTAAAGATGCTGTCAAACACCTTATACCAGCTTCACTTGCAATAATTTAGCTTCAGTGATCATCTGAAGCAGCAAAGATTTCATCATTTTATATAATGCTACCATCTAAAGGCTGATTCTTATTTCAAACACCATTTGCACTTACATATAGCATTAATGATACCCTCTGACAACATTAAAGTACACACATTTTTAAGGGGCCTATAATCTTGCATACACATGCACTTCATCTGCAAATCCAGTAGAGTCCATTATCCACCTACACAGTTTGCACTTACAAATTTGGTAATTGTGCATCAAGTTAATAAACAGCAAACAAAAGGACTATTAGTGGGGAGCTCTACATTTGGAAATAACTATTGTGTGATGGGGCTCTAAAATGTGCATACCTATTTAGACCCCAGTTCAGAAATGCCTCCCTTTTCAGCAAAGCACGTGTGCATAACCCTAAACCTGGGGTGTCAAACTTGTTTGCCCCTTCTGGGCCAGATCTGGACCACAGGGCTCCTTGAGATTAGGATCCAAACTACGGAGATCTTAGGCAGGGCAAGTAGCATCAGGAAACCATGAAAGTTAATGAAGCCATTTCCCCTCTAGGAGCCCCACAGGCCATATTTTTGATATCTCTGAAGTCTAAACATATTCCTAAATCCTAACTGGAATCAATGGAACTTAAAAACTTAATAGAATGATTTAAGTGTGAGTGTACATGCTATCCCAAAATGAACAAACAACATTGGAATTTTTCCCTGGAAAAAAAAGAAGAGCTTATTTTTTTTATTTTTTTTTGTAAATCTTCAGCTTTAGATATTAAGTGGCTTTAAGTCGCTTCACGGCAATACAGTATCTTAAGGAAAGTCTCTTTCCCATCTCAAATGTCTGTTTTTCAGATGTGGTTGGCTGAATCACCTTATAGATCAAATAATCACTGAATATAAAATTATGACTGTTAGAGCATGTTAGTTCAAATATAATCACACTTGGTAGCTCTAGAAAATTTGGACAAAATTCTGATCTCATCTTCATCAACGTAACACCCACTAATCTCCATTATATTATTCTTAATTCAGTGATGAAACTGAGAACAGAATCAAACCCCTTGGATTCCTCAGCTTTTACGTGTGGTATTGAAAGTGTGTAAGATTGTCAGACAGGAAAAACATTGCTTAAAGCCTGGAAAGATGAAGAGCACATGATTATTTGAATGCCAAACTTATATCCACCATTAGATTTGTATTTAAGACTGGTATAAGTCCACAAATTTCATCCCAGCCACCCCCATGTTAATACACGAACACCTCCTTTTAAAGTTTATTTGTGTAATTCTCGTGTGAATTTACAATTTAGAGGCCATGCCTCCAAGTCATAGGCTTGGCAAAATTATTTCAAGAAATATGTTCAGCTAACCTTTGAGCTGGCACCTCAGCCTGGCTATTCTCTGCCTTAAGACGTAGAAAGCTGCAAAACAAATGTCCAAAAAAAGAAATTCCAGCTTTTTTTGTCCCGTAAGGAGGATGGACTTGGCTTGGGATTTTAGGAACTTGTTACATTCCCGGAGACATACACACATTCAACATTCAGAGTTTTTCTGAAATAAAAAAAAAATCTGGGACACATTTAGAAATGGAAATAGCTTATGTCATTATTTAATTAGGAAAGTTAAGAAATACAGTCTGAGGTATAAGAGTGACTGAACATAATGATGTTATGCTATTCTTATTCAATCAGTCCGTAAATTAAAACTAGAAATGTAGAATAGCCCCCTCATCCAGTTGTAAGCTATCCTATTACAGGTTTCATCAACGTGGAAGTTTTCTTAAAGAAGCAGTATCCATTCCCATAAATATAAATGAATTCATGTAGATTTATTTTTTAATCCTGCTTCTTTCACATAGCTAACGGATGCTAACTTTTATATAATTAAAATTATATGTATTTTAAGCATCTGACCACCTGTGACAAATAAAGATGTTGACCATTTTTACAGCATATGAATTTTGAGTAACATCTAATCTACAACTAATGATTGCACATCTTATCTACTTGTACTACCATATTAAGCCCAATAACCAACCATAGCTAATCAGGATGCAAACGAGATCCAAGTTGTATGCCGAAATTTAAAAAAATATGTTTGCCAATAAAATAAAAGATTAAATAGCTCAGATTATTTTGTTATATGATTTTACTTTGATGACTGAAGCTCTCTTTTCTTTGTTTTCTACTCTTAACATGATATGAAAGTTTATGAGATTCAGGATAACTTCACTAGCACTGATATAAATCAGTGTAAAATTAGAAAGGAAGTAGTCCTTAAGGACTTTTTTCAAAGCCCAGTGAAGTCAAAGGAAGGTTTCCTATTGACTTCAAGGAGCTTTGGGACAGACTCGGAGAATCCAGAAGCTGTCAGTGTTCAAATGCTACAAAGGAAAATTCTAAATACATTATAAATGCATCTTTTGGGAAAGGCTAGATTACAAAATCCTTGGGTGTAATGTGAAAGGAGAAGGATACTGTTTCTTCAACATCACTTACAACATTTTATATGCAAACATGCTTACAAGCTGAAAAAATAATTGAATAAAAATAACACTTCATGATCGTCTTGCAAAGCAACATGAAAACAGTTATGCAGTTCTATATAAGTATCTGTTCCTTCCAGAATATTTTAAAATGTGCAAATATATGTGTCACTCTACAAAAAGTAGGTATGGGGCTTATAAATACAAGGTGCTTAGCAAATCTAACGTATTAAATTAGGCCCCAATTCTGCAGCCATTACAGTTAATGGTCAAGCTCCTTGCGAACGTGATGGTGTCTCTATAAGTAGGCCAATATCCCTCAAGCCTGTATTTCAAAGGCTCATAAGTGACACAAATTATGGATTTATTTTTAGTTCTGAGTGGTGCATGTTTGACTATACAGAACTGCATTTCCATTTAAAGTATTGTTATGTCCAAGAAAGGAATTTTAAACAACTTGAGGCCAATTCTCTCATCCATATGTGAGATTTATATGGGTAACTCTCACCAGCATTGATGAGAGCTACACAAAACACCTCTCAACTAGCAATGAGAGTATAAACCCCTGGTTTTGTTAATAGTGTAGAAACACATTTTATCTCATATTATTTTATCTTATAATGACAGGAGCAGCAGCACCTACCATTCAGCTTCTTCACAGATGTTGTGAAAGGCAGTAGCATGCAAAACCTCCAGCAAAGCAATTGGTTACAGCTGCATTTATAGCATCCTCCAGGTATGCTTATGTAAGCCCCACACCCTGCTAAATATGTCATCTAAAAAACCCCTTTGATAATATACATTTAGCTAAACCTAGTAAAAGGTAACGTGTCAGGTTTTAAATGTTTTTAATTATACATTACCAACGCTGGTTTGTGCAGTGATTTTTTTAACTAATCCTTTTTCACTAATGCAGTGAATATTGAACTGTTTAATTCCTTGACTGCCCTGGTGCTGTAACATTAACCTGTAATCGCAATGGCTTCAGTGAAAGATGGAAGGAAATTAGCACACTGACGTCTAGTGGTTACGCTCTCTTTGAAAGCTGCTCTTATACCTTGTTAGGGAAAAATGATTAGAATAGGTCATGGCTCATTCTTCTCCATAAAGGCTATACCAGATAGATTTCCTTAATGTCTGAGAAGAGCTACATTGCTGGATGTTGATGGTAATAGATTTTCTTTAAAAAAAAAAAATCTGCAGGAGGATTCTGTTTCAGTTAAACACCTCCTATATGTCATATCTGTCTTTCTGTCTAATGATATTAATTATATAAACACAAATGGCCAAATCATCAGAGGGAGTAAATCAGCAGAGCTCCACTGATTTCAAGGAGCTATACCACTTAATGACAAGAGAGGATCTGGCAGTAGAACTACAACAACTTACAGCAGCTGGGGATACAACCTTCCAATTTGCACATACTTGACAATAGGTTACCAAAAGGTTTGCTCTTGCCACTGTCCCTAGCAAAGGAGTTGTCCAAATTGCACTCAGAATGAACGTTCTTTTTCCATAGCTGTATTATGGCTGTGCTTTAAAAATACAGTTGCATTTTTATCTATACTTTAAAATCTTTTATTCTCAGAAAAACTTACTTACTTACTTACTTAAAACATTGAAAGACCAGATCCAGATCGACTTTATAGGCACCTCCACTTATGTGTCACAATGTCGTTAAAATATAGGCTCCTTGCCCCAAGAGACTGGTTCATATCAGAAAAGTTAGGTGCCTAGGATCCCTATTCAGTGAATAAGATGATCCAGAATACCTAGCTGCTGAACAAGGAGGTGCCTACAGTTGGTCAATAGGAAATGAGAGGCCCAGAGGTGTCCCTGAACTCCTGTTCCTGATCAAGTTAAGTCACCTGAGTCAGAGCTGAACATTACACATGCCTTTGTCATCTCAACTTCCAGGGTACCCAGAGTTCACCTCCCTGCTCAAGGCACTGGCATCAGCATGAAGTACAGCACGCCCATCTTTTCCCCAATATTCTAGTGGTTCTCAATCTTATTAGACTCAAGGCACTCCTCAGAAAACGTCAGCTCTTAGCTTTCATTCATTTTTGGCTGCGGAAAAATGATAGTGTAATCCTCCTGTTGCAAAGAACTCAGAAAAACAACAAAAGGTCAGGAAGTTTTGGACACTATAGATTCCTATTTGGAATCTCTGGATTAATTTTTCTGCACACCTAACAGAGAGAATATTTTGCGGCACCCCAGGACACATTTAAAAGGGTCTCAAGACACCCCAGGGTGCTGTCTTACCCTGGTTGAAAATCACTGGGTTAGAGAATTCACCCAAGGAGGCAGTTCTAAGCCCTCTTCAGTCTCAACAGTTCAAACCTCCAGGTCCCAAGAGAGGACCCTCGCTTTTTTTGTATGATGTGGGCTACTGGCTTTTGTGAAGGGAGGAGAGGCTCCCTCTTCCCTCTCTCCTGTTGAAGCTTGGAGCACTGAATGGCAAAGAATGCAAGATTCATGCGGTCAGAGAGCAGATGCCATGAAGACATGGATTCTAATTCCTGCTGCCCAGCTTACTTCTTTTTTAAACTAGTGGCTGCCTAATATAAAATGCATAAACAGTTCTGGAAGTAAAAACCAGAACCCAGGACTCCCCAATCCCATAGGAAGGTCCTCCTCACTTTCAAGTCATACTTTTGTCTTGCACTCTTCTTCTGACACAAAGAGTCTTGCACGCCTGCCTGTCAGGTGGTCCAGGAGGAAAGGGGACCCACACTCAGAATAGCTAACAACCTGGTGGAACCTGGGAGATGTGGATTTGACTCCTCTCAGACTGGGGAAGACTTAGAACCCAGGTTTCGCATTTTTGAGTGCATGCTCTAACCACTGGACTATGGAGCCAAAGTAGCTTTCACCTCCTCTTCCTCCTCCTCTTCCTTTTGCAATGAAATGTATGCATGCTGGCAATGTCAAACAGTGGCAAAGAGGGCTCTTAGCCACCTAAGGAATCAGAGATTTAGATGGATATCACTTCCAGAACCTATCTGGATCACAAGAGCACTTTGGTAGGATTTAGCTGTCCAGGTGGCCAACCTGGATTGTTTTTGTGTATGTATAACAACCTAAGCTGAGATGCCTTGGACCTTTTCAAGACAAAATGGAGGTGCTGAATGAATGAATCTATGGGCCCTGGTGCTTTTGTACCTGTTGGCCCCAATGTCAATCTGGATTGCTTTTTGATACTTAGGTGCCTAAACTTCACCCAAGTTCTGTTTAGGGGCCTAAAAAATTCATTTGGATCTGGCCCTGTATCCTAGCTGTTATATCACAGCTTACACATCAATAAAACAGATACTGATATGCTTAGGGTAGATTACCTACATAAATAAGCTTATAAATCAGCATGCAGAAAAGTCCACAAAAAAGGTAAATCTTGGATAAGAGATACATGGACCTATGGAAATCATCTTCACTGGCCACCAAAAGAATTACAGAAATGTTTGCAATCTAAATCTAGCAATGTAGAAATGAATAATTCTGTCTAAAAGGCTAATAGATCAAAGAAAGAATACCTCACCACAATGAGGAACCCTGCTTAGAGCTGAGAGGGATTAGTAGAAACTAAAATGCCTCAAAACCAATGACACTGCATTATTAGATGGTAGAGACAGAACTGTTTCTCTCATGCTGAAAAATAAACAGAGTCTTACTGGCCATATCATCCATATTATAAGACCACGCGTGAAAACACTTAGCTGTCTGCTTTGCCAACTCCAGTATAACGGTCTTCAGAATCAAGTAACAAATGCATGCATTGTATGCATGTGATATAACTGGCTAAAACACAGCATTGCTGATTTTTAATAATAACAGGACAGAACCTTGGCTGCAGTAAATGAGCATAGTCCCATTGATGTCAATGGAGCTTGGCCAATTCACAGCGGCATCAAGCCTAACAGAGGCATGAAGGAG